ATTCCATTTAGATGAAATGTCCAAAATAGAAAAATCCAGAGAAACAGAAAGTGGACTGGAGGTTGCTTAGAGTTGAGGAGTGACTGCTAGTAGGTATAGGATTTTTTGTTGGGGTGATGAAAATGTTCTAAAATTGTAGTGATTGGCCGGGTGCAGCGACGTCATGATCCACCCGCCTCAGCCTCCCAAAGTAATCCCAGCACTTTAGGAGGCTGAGGCAGGTGGATCATGAGGTCAGGAGTTCGAGACCATCCTGACCAACATGGTGAAACCCCATCTCCTTAAAAATACAAAAATTAGCCAGGTGTGGTGGTACACGCCTGTAATCCCAGCTACTCGGGAGGCTGAGGCAGAAGAATCGCCTGAACCTGGGAGGCGGAGGTTGCAGTGAGCCGAGATCGCGCCACTCCACTCTAGCCTGGGCAACAGAGCAAGACTCTGTCTCAAAAAAAAAAAAAAAAAAGTAAAATTGTAATGATGGTTGTATAACTCTGTGAATACACTAATAGCCATTGCACTATGTATACTTTTTATTTTCATTCTTTTAGACATGGGGGTCCTGCTAGGTTGCCCAGACTTGCCTTCAACTTCTGGGCTCAAGTGTCCTCCTATATCAGCCTCCTGAGTAGCTGAGACTACAGGCACTTGCCACTGTGCTCAGCAAACTGTGAACTTTAAATGAGTGAATTGTATGGTATGTGAATTATATCTCAATAAAGCTACTACTAAACAACTAAAAAATCTAAACTCTCCACAATCTAATTGTAAAACAGAGTCTAAATTAAAATGCCATTTATGAAGCTGGGTAAGGTGTTACACAATTGTAATCCCAGCTACTTGGGAGGCTGAGGCAGGAGAATTGCTTGGGCCAGGAATTCGAGGCTGCAGTGAGCTATGATCATGCCCCTGCATTGCAGCCTGGGCAACAACAACAACAAAAAATAATAAAAGCTTGTGGGACACTGGGCAGTGTAGAAGTGTCAACATGGGGTTCTCCGTCCAGGCCTTAGGAGGCCTGCCTTCGTGTTTTGCGTGCCCTCTCGTGCCTCTGCCATTGCCACGAGAAGAGCACATGTGAGCCATCCCACTGTCTAAGGAGCACGGGACACATGTGGACCAGGCCTGTGCCAGACTTGCAGCCTCTAGGGCAGGTAGATCGGCCAACCCAGTCTCTTCACAATACGTGCTGAGCCCAAACCCCAGCTGACCTCACAGCTGGGAGAACAGACGGTTGAATCTGGAAGCCTCTGTGGTTCATTAGACAGCATTGCTATAGCAGTATGTAACTGGTATTCCTTTCTTCAGAAATTCTGAGCACTGCTCTTCTCCATGACTCCTTTCTGTTCTAGAGGACAATATGCCATTGTGGCTACCCTTGCCTCACACCTAGAAACAGCTGGAGGTCCTGGGCTCAGTTAGCCAAAGCTCTGGTTCTGGTTCTGTCCTGAATATCTGCTGTGTGGTCTTCGGCAAGTCATCCCACTGCACTCCTAAAATATCCCTGGTCAGAAAACAGACATGACGACAAAGGACTGTGCATCACAGAAGGATGATAGCACATTTTCTTGCTCCACGTCCTGTCCATGACATAGCAATGAAGCTTATGTGAACTTCAAAGTCTCCACTTGGAAGCTGGCCGAACTCCCATGAGCTGTTTTACTTCTAGTATTCATAAGCATTCTGACAACAACAGAGGCTACGACCTATAACCCTATTTCAGATTCAAACAAAGCACATGAAAGACTGGCCTGAGCAGCAATGCCTAGCCTGCTAGACCTCGCCAGCGGCCAACCCCCAGCACAAAATGATGACCACTTCTGCTGGAGGGGAGGGCAGACCATGGCTCCGATTACACTGATAGCATTCATTTTCTTTCTTTCTTTTTCTCTTTTTCCTTTCTTTCCTTTTCCCTTCTTTCCTTTCCCTCCTCCTCTGCCTTCCTCCCTCCCTCCCTTTCCTTCCTCCCTCCCTGTCTCCTTTTGTTTCTTTCCTTCACTCCCTCCCTCCTTTCCTCTCTCCCTCCCTTCCTTCTTTTTTTTTTTCTTTCTTAGACAGGGTATCACTCTGTTGCCAAGGCTGGAGTGCAGTTGTGCGAACATGGCTCACTGCAGCTTCAGGCTCCTAGGCTCAAGCAATCCTCCCAGCTCTGTCTCCCAAGCAGCCGGAAATACAGGTGCACTCTACCAAGCCTGGCTAATTTTTTTGTGTTTTTTGTAGAGACAGGGTTTCATCATGTTGCCTAGTCTGGTCTTGAACTCGTGGGCTCAAGTGATCCACCTGCCTTGGCCTCCCAAAGTACTAGGATTACAGGTGTGAGCTACTGCACCTGGCCTTCTTTTATTTTTTATTTCTTGAGACAGAGCCCCACTCTGTTGCCCAGGCTGGAGTGTAGTGGCGTGGTCTTGGCTCACTGCAACCTCCACCTCCCAGGTTCAAGTGATTCTCCTGCCTCAGCCTCCCAAGTAGTTGGGACTACAGGTATGTGCCACTGCACCTGGCTAATTTTTGTATTTTTAGTAGAGACAGGGTTTCACCATGTTGATCAGGCTAGTTTTGAAATCCTGACCTCACCTGAAATCCTGACCTCAGGTGATCCATCTGCCTCAGGTTCCCAAAGTGCTGGGATTATAGGCGTGAGTCAACACGCCCAGCCTGTTTTCAATCTTTCTTGAGTATAGAACCGTCCGAGCTTTCTTTTGGGGAACTGGAGTTCCTGCACCTGAGGTCCACGGATGTTAAAGCGGTACTCCCTAAAAGCATTTCTAAGCAAAAGTCTTCCTCCTGCCCGCCCTCCACCTGAACTCAGAGGAAGCCTGAATTATACAGATATAGTGTGTTCCCTTTCCATGTTAGAACTTGTACTTCTCTGCAAGTCTGTTTGAAAGAATTAATGCCTGGTCAGGAGGCTGAGGCTGGTGGTTCACTTGAGCCCCAAGAGTTTGAGGCCGTGGTGAGCTGTGATCACATCACTGCACTCCAGCCTGGGAAAACTAGTGAGATCCTGTCTCTAACTGAAAAATAAAAAACAAGGGCTGGTACGGTGGCTCACACCTATAATCCCAGCACTTTGGGAGGCCAAGGCAGGTGGATCACGAGGTCAGGAGATCGAGACCATCCTGGCTAACACAGTGAAACCCCGTCTCTACTAAAAATACAAAAAATTACCTAGGCGTGATGACACACATCTGTAGTCCCAGCTACTCGGGAGGCTGAGGCAGGAGAATTGCTTGCACCTGGGAGGTGCAGGTTGCAGTGAGCTGAGATTGCACCCCTCCATTCCTCAACTTCAATTATCTTGCCCTCTCCGTACCACACACACTTTCTGGCCCTTCATCAACTCTTTTTTTTTTTTTTTTGAGACGGCAGAGTCTCTGTCACCAAGGTAGAGTGCAATGGCACAAACTTGGCTCACTGCAACCTCTGCCTCCCGGGTTCAAGTGATTCTCCTGCCTTAGCCTCCCAAGTAGCTGGGACTATAGGCGCATGCCACTACGCCTGGATAGTTTTTTTTTTTTTAATTTTTAGTAGAGACGGAGTTTCACCATGTTAACCAGGCTCATCTCGAACTCCTGACCTCAAGATATCCACCCGCCTCAGACTCCCAAAGTGCTGGGGTTGCAGGCGCGAGCTATCGTGTCTGGCCTATCAACTCTCATTTCCTGAACCAACGGTGAGAGAATAGCGGAGTGATAAGCAGAAAAGTGAAGAAATGGGAAGGGAAGTAGAGGTAGAGAATGAGATGATGGAAGGCCCAGGAGATGGGGGTATCCCCTGGACCTCTCTAGAGCCCCCCGGTTCTGACCATTCCTCTTTCTCTGAGGTCCAAGTTCTCACCTTTGAAAAGAGGCTGAAGCATCCCAGGCGGCTGACGATGCAGTAAACTTCAGGAAGGCGCTTGCCTTTGCCTCCAGGCTTTTTGGAAAGAAACACAAGGGAATTATGGGTGTTGACAACCTCAGGGAAGAAAAGAACCCACATGTTTTTTGAGAGGTTATCATGTGTCAGATGTTTCCACATATGGTAGCTCTGGAAGACCCCATAAGGTAAGTCGTTATCCCATTGTGGCTTGTTATAATGTCTGTTATAATTGTTTGTTATCCCTATATGTTTATTATAATGATAATTTCAAGTGAGAAATCATTTCTGAAGATCTTTCTGAAAACTCAGTTTTAAGCTAATTTTCAAACCAAAAAAAGAAAAAATCAAATCTCAATAATTTTTTTTTTTTTTTTTTTTGAGATGGAGTCTCGCTCTGCTGCCTAGGCTAGAGTACAATGGCGTGATGTGGGCTCACTGAAACCTCCTATTCCT